GGCTTCTTTCCCTCATTATTATTTCTATGAGATTTATTCATGTTTTTGCATGTAACAGTAGTTTGTATTTTTTATTGTTTGTGGTGTTCCGTTGTTTTAAATATACAACAGCTTATTGTCTTGTGAATGGATATTTGTCTTCTTTGCAAAACCTGGCCATTATGAATAAACCTGAGTATTCTCAAATGTATTTTTTGGTAGACATGTGCTCATTTCTCTTGGGTATATGTCTAGAGGAAGAATTGCTAGATCATAAGGCATAGGTTTAATTTTAATGGATATTTCCAAAGTGGTTTTATCACTTTACTCTCCCACCAGCAGTGTATGTTCCAGTGCAGAGTTCCAGGAACTCTGCATTCTTGCCAGTGCTTGTTATTGGTGGTCTTTTGAATGCTTTCCATTCAGAAGGGTGTTTATTTCATTGTGGTCTTAATTGCATTTCCCTGATATGTCATCACGTTCCCTTCTGTTTCTTATGTCTGTGGCCATTTGTGTGTCCTGTTTTATGAAGGTCTTTCATCCATTTTATTAATTGTGTTGTTAGTTCTTTTTTTTTCTTATTTGTTGACATTCTTTGCATATTCTCGATGTTTGTCTCATTAGAGAGAAAAATTACAAACACCTCTTACTCTCCTAGTAGTATCTTTTGACTCTCTTAGTATCTTTTGATAATTGGACGTTCTTTTATTTTGGTGAAGTTCAAATTTATCCTTATTTTTTATGATTAGTGCTTTTTGTGTTCTTCTGCAAAACATGAAACTTATTGCCTTTCCATCTCTTGGATATTTTTAGGCAGAAAAAAACATAGAGACCCACTGCCATAGAATGTAAACCACAGTCACACTGGTCATTATTGGATTCCTGTTTTTGAACTGACTGTTTGCCTAGAGTGGTGTCCTGAGCCCTCATATATATAAAGCACTTTAGGTTTCACAGAGCTCTTAATCATTTGACCTCATTTGATCCTAGGCAGGGGCTCACTAAAGGCCTTGCAGGAAGGTTTAGTCCCTTCTGATGGCCAACAGAAGCTCTCCGGCAGCTGCGGGATCTACATGTTTCCCACAGCTTTGTGCTTGAGGGCAAAGCATTAGACTGTGTGGTTTGGTTCCTGGCTCTGTAACTGGGGACAAAATGCTTAACCTATTTGTGCCTTGGTTTTCTCAGCTGCTAAATGGGATAATGAGAATATCCCTCCCTCATGATGTAGTTGTGAAGGTGAAATGAATTAATTACTGTATAGTGCTTAACACACTATCTGGCACACAGAGTTGGGTTATTATTATTGTAGTTTTATCATTATTGTTTGATGGGGGTCACAATTCTTTTTTTAATTATTGTATAATTGACTTAAAATATTAGTTTCAGGTGTACAACACAGTGATTTTTTTATAGGCTACACACCATACGAAGTTATTATGAAATATTGACTATATTCCTGGTGCTGTATATAACATCTTTACGACTTATTTGGTCACTTGTACGTCTTAATTCCCTTTACCTGTTTTGTCCCTCCTCTCACTCTTCTCCCCTCTGGTACTTACTAGTTTGTTCTCTGTTTCTGAGGACCACAGTTATTTGCAGAGCTGAAAAGAGCTCTGATCATTTATTGGGTTTTCCTTTTATTGTGTCATATTTTTCTTCCCTCATTCCACACTCCTACCTCATGAGTCCTCTGTCTCTTTCCCTCTTTGTCTTTCCACTTTTGCTATGAAAAGCCAGATGCATTTCACACATGAACTAAATTGATACCTGAATGAAAGTGTACTGTCTTATAGGGACTGACATGGAATGTGTAAGGTTATTGAGAGTTTTGCTCAGTTTCTTTGGTTTTGAGGGATGGTGGCTAGCAGGGGCATAGAATATGGAAAGGAAGTGACTACTTGATTCCAAAATAAAGTTGACCCATTTACCTTGCTTCTAAGAATTACAGACATAAGAGATTTATGTAATAGTGGTTTAAATTGTAATAAGGGAAAAGAAAACTTGAAGCCAAGTGAGTGTTTTCTAGATGTCTAGAAACGATAGTATAATACTATGATCCAGATGTTAACATATATGAGGCTGAGAGAAAGTTTTCTGAACTTGGGGTGATAGGATTAGTAACAAGTGTGTTAAATCTATTCAGTTCTCTATCACTGCATCCCTCCAAAAAAAAAAAAAAAAGGAGAATAAAATCACACGTGGAAAAGAATTTATCTTTTGATATTTCTTCATGAAATAAAAACAAACCCTGTTGATTTTCCTGGTTACTAACGCCAGTGGCCCACCCTTAATAGCCTCTGAGTTTGTTTGAACTTCCTCTTTGTGACTGGGTGGAAATTTCACACTGTTTGCCATGAAGTTGATGTGATATCTGCGAGGTCCCTGACATCTTGGTCTGCTAGGAAGCTATTGTGGTTTCACTGTTTGCTGATGAACACCTAGCAGGAAATGAACTGAGACACTTTGGTGTGTAGAGAGTAGCTTTACCCTAGTGTGGAGAGTAGGCTGTCTTTTCTCTCCAGTGTGGGGAGAACATGAAGGAAAAATGGGGTGTCTGGGTGGGCAGAGGGACTTCAGAGCTAACCATGCCTCAGGATCACCTGAGAAGATGGTTAAAATTCAAGTTCTCAGGCACAGCGCAGAAGTTCAGGTTGAGCGAGGCAGGGCCGGGCTGGGTACCTCTATGCTAAGGGGATGCCTGATGTCCAGGCACAACAACACTGAGAGCGACACTCAAAGAAGAGTTTCAGGCTCGGGGACTGGAGAGACTTTCGTAGACTCCTCATCTCAAAGCTCTTAAAGGTTTATATGTGGCTTTAAACTGGAAGAGTAGAATCAGTCCACCAAGCCCCCAGCCACAGGGCCGCAGCTGCCAGCAGGCTGCAGATAGCCAGCAGGTGAGGCACACTAGATGGGCTGACAATGGTGGGAGAAGGAGGAGGAGTTCCCTGGCCTGTGCACGGAATCACTGTCCCTTCTGAGTCATTGGGTCTAGGTACTAGCGCCCAGAGTAAGCTTCACGAGAGTGACCGCCCTCTGTCCCATCGCCTGTCTCTCATCCACCTGCTTACCCCCAGCCACCTACACACACCCCCTTCTCCCGCTGCTGCTACTCCCTCCTGGTCTTTTTTCCTCTCCCTGCCCCTACCCTCTCGTTCACCACCTCCCACACTCACACTCCCTCCTCAGTGCCCCTCATTCCCAGCCTCCCCTAGATACGTTGTGTGTGCGCGTGTGTGTACACTAGGTCTTCATTGCTGTGTGGGCTTTGCTCTGGTTGCAGAGAGTGGGGCTACTCTCTAGTTGCAGTGCATGGGCTTCTCATTGTGGTGGCTTCTCTAGGCACGCAGGCTTCAGTAATTGTTGCATGTGGGCTCGGTAGTGGCAGCTCGCTGCTTCTAGAGCACATGCTCATAGTTGTGGTGCGTGGACTCAGTTGCTGCATGGCATGTGGGATCTTCCTGGATCAGAGATACAACCCACGTCTCCTGCATTTGTAGGCAGGTTCTTTACCTCTGAGCCACCAGGGAAGCCTCCATGCTTCCATCTTTGAACACTTTTTTCCTTTGGAGAAGTTGAGGAAGGATGAATGAAAACAAATGTGATACTTAAAATATCTTCAATATAAGTAGACCTAGCATGTTCATTGAAACTGTGGAAATAAGCCAGGAGCAGCTAGAACAGCGACTATAAGTGGATTGAATAAATAGGCTTAGGTGTTTATGGGCCCAGACTTGTGCTGTGCAAGGCATCATGGAGTTCGTGTGTGTGTCCACTGTACCTTCTGTGATCCTGAGCAGTGCTGCAGACTTAATTCTTGCTCAGTGGATCTCTGCCTTCCTTTTAGACTTTCTCAAACTTTAAAGATGATTGAGTCATTAATTCTTAACTTTTTGTGTGTTGCAGTCTCCTTTCATAATCTGATAGGCAGTTTGAATTATTTGTCCAAAAAAAGGCACAAACATTTGGAGGAGGGAGGGTGGCTCATAGACTCTTTGGGGCCCTTCCTTGGACCCTAAGTCAAGAATTCCTGTCTTAATGAGCATAGAGGGCTTGTAGTCCCTTCTCCCAAGTTCCTTTTTGTGGTGCACCCCTCTTGTGTGACATCTGTTAGCGGTACACAACAAACGTTATTTGATATCGTGTGCATGCTTTCTGGAGGGTCTTTGCTCAGTTTGAAAGAGCAAGAATATTTCAGGCAGAGAGTGAAAAGAGCTAATGCATATAAAGAACTTAGTTCCTGCTGTGCTAAAGATTCATTTAAAACTAGTGTGTACATTTAATATAGTCATAAGTATAATGCCCATTACTCCATAAAACCTTTTCATGTCAAAAGCAGTTTAGAAGCATTGGACTAGATATTAGACCAGAATCCCTCCACTTGTATGTTCCATCCTTTTTATTGAGTCCAATAATTCTCTTCAGTTTTTGTTGTTGGTTAGTCGCTAAATTGTGTCCAACTCTTTTGTGACCCCATGGACTGTAGCCCGCCAGGCTCTTCTGTTCATGGACTTTCCCAGGCAAGAATAGTGGAGTGGGTTGTCATTCTGTTCTCCAGGGAATCTTCCTGACCCAGGGATCAAACCCAAGTCTCCTGCATTGGCAGGTAGATTTATTACCACTAAGCCACCAGGGAAGCCCTATCTTCACTTTGGCACATGTTTATTGTACCCCTACTTGGAGTCAAGCACTCTGGTAGCATTTTGGGGGAGAGGAACAAATATGATCTCAAAGAACAAACAAGGCCAAAGGGAATCACTTGGCTCCTCTGTGTACTTAGCTGTATGTAGAGTCCTGTCTTCTGTGTTTCCTGCCACCTTCCTGAGGGAAGTGGGTTGAGAGGGATTTGGGGTGACGGCTTTGCTTTCTGACACTCGAAGGTGGCTCTAAAGAGCTGAGGGGTGCCTCTCTGTCTGCATGCCATTAACCCTGTAGCTTTTCACTCAGTTTCGTGGGTGTTTCTTTAAGACTCACCTTCATCTGTGGCACTGGGTTTACATGACCTTGTTTCTCCGTAGGCCCGGGGTTATCACCATGCAGGCATTGTCTGAAGAAGACCGAAGGCTCTGGATGGAAGCCATGGATGGCAGGGAACCTGTAAGTAACAATTCAGGGAAGTAGAGCAAGAATAAAGGTCTCGAGTTGTTTTGCTTCCTTAGTGCAGCAGTTTTTGCTTTTGCTTTAAATAAAACCTTGGGCTCTTGAGACCAGTGTACCAGAGGGGCTTTTTATTTTTATTGTTTTTTATTCCTGGACTAATGTTCCTGAATATTGATATTGCTTTTGTGTGAATGCAATTCTGGAGCTTTGGCCTGTCAGTCTAAGGTATGGGTCCTACATGACGCCACATCAGACCAGAGACCACCCCCACCCTTCACCAAGGCAGTTGTAATGCCCAGAGGACTTTTAGAGGGAGGCACCATCAGTCTGACTTACAGAATACTCATTGATAACCTCCACAAAGTGCAGTGCAGAGCATTACTTCAGATCCATTTTAATAGATTAAATGATGATAGAAGTGTGTACAGATGATGCAGAATCTTGTCATCACCCTCTGGTTCAGCTTCCCAGCTTGCTATACTTGGCTCACATCCCACTATAATTGATGAGATTACCAGGGTCCATGAAAGGATTTAAGCCTAAAATGTGATCCATCCTCCCGTTTCAGAGGTGCTTGTCTCCTCTGATGGGTGATGTAATCTTGTGGTTTTCCTGCATCTTGTGACATGTAAAACCCACGGAAGAACCTTGGGGAAGTCCCAAGAGTCAGAGTAGTCATCTTAACTTGGGGCCAAGGATCTCAGCTCCAGTACTCAGCAAATCTCAAGGTTACAGAAGTTGTAAGAGTACGGTCTAACCATATCCTACCAGTAAAAGATAAAAAGAATCCACACTGTCAGAAGGCCAAAAATTGGGCCAATAATTATCACATACAAAGGCACTGTCAAAAAAGGGAAATATGTGCAAGGGACATGAGGCAGGCATAGCCTCCATTGACTATAGATAGAACTGTGCATCACACCGGGTGTGCAATATAGATGATTCCAGTTCATTTGTGTGTCTCTTTCTCAGCCTGCTCTGATTAGGTGATCTGTATTGATTTTTTTTAATGTCATTTTCTACTGAGGTATTTTGTGTCCAAACTTGGAACTCATTATAGTCAACTAAGCATAGACAAATAACTAGTATTTGTAGCACATTTAATAATACAGAGCAAGATTTGAAGCACTGTTTAAAGATTTAGGTGCATTTTGCTAAACCTAGTTAATTAAATAAACATCTTAGTTCTTCTCCTGGACTAAGATACAGGGTACCGCTGATTTTCCCTGAATACTTTGTTACTGATAACTTTTGATGGCTCTCTCAAAAGCAGATACACATTTCTATCTTCAGGGCTTTGTGAGCACAGTAGGTGCTTGATATCACAGGCTTTTCAGAGCAGTTTCCTAAGTAGTCTTCATCTCTGCTGTTATCACCTACCATTAATTGAGCTTCTGTGTGTGTATATCCGTAAGGCACAGATTTGGCACATAGCATCTCTTAACCCATTTATTCTTAGTACTTAGCAAACTAAATATTATAATTTCATTTCACAGATGAGGAAACTGAGGCTTAGAAGAGATTAAATAACTTACCCCAAGTTGTACAGATAGTAAGTGGCTATATTTGTAGGGCACAGGCTAGGTTGCTATAGCAAAGAGACTTCAACGTGCAAAAGCTTAAATAAAATAGAAGTTTATTTCTCTCACGGAGCTCAGAAGTGAGCAGTCTATGCCTGACAGGGTCATTTTGCTGAGACAGACTAGGACCTGGGACCTTTTGCTGCAATGCTTGCACCTGGACAAACCTGTCCTCCAACAACAGAATACAAAGAAACTATAAGGGACTAAAAATAACCGAGTACTCCCTCAGTTGGGGCAGATTCTGGACAAAAGATACAAACAGACCAGAAGACCTAACTGCAACTTTTGAAGAGCAACTAGCAAAAGCAGGGTACTTCTCATGCCCCCTGCACACACTACCACCTAAGGGGTGAGAGAACCACCTAAACCACTCCTCCAGCCCGATCCCTCAACGCACCTTTATTTACCTTCACTGCATATAAGGAGCAATCTCCCACCTCCTCAGGGAGCAAGTAAGGGAAGCTGTTACTTGTTCTTGTTCCCCTGCTAGCTGCACTGGGGCCCATAAAACCTTACCTGAGTTTCTTGTCTGGCCTCTATAATCAATTTCTATTGATTGGGAAAGGCTATGAATCCTGGTTGGTACCAGTGCCATCCTCAGTCCATGGCTTTCCATGTTCTATTCATTTCCATTTTTCAGCCAGATAATGGAGATGAGAGCATCTAGGATCTAGAAGATGCATACCCCACTTCCACTGCCCCCCAAATAATTATTTGGCCACATTGATCTACAAAGAAAGGAGCATGAGAAAACATAGGTAGCCATGGCTCCAGCCAGTTCCCAGGAGATCTTACCACTTCAAGGAGGAAGAACAGAAACTGTGGGGTGGTTAACAGTTTCCACCACAGTGCAAAGCTAGCATTAGAACCTGTATCTAGCCCTAAATGTCTTTGGTTTTCATTTTTAATAGAGATAAAATGTCAAATTGCCTTCTAAGAATCCTTACACAGTTAATTTTTACATTACTTTCTGTGACTCTCTTGAATGATTCTTAACTCATAGGGTAGGAAATACCCAGGAAGAAAAATCCTGTCTGGGCATACTATTCTTTGTATGAACAAAAAACCCACTTTGGGGTGGGTAGATGTGTGTGTGTGTGTGTGTGTGTTCCCTCCAATAAGCTTCACGCACTGCATTTTAAGTCTCCCCACCTCCCTCTCCCACCCTTTGGTGTTTGTTCTCTGTCTGCATATACTTGGTTTTCTTATAAACCACCTTAGTTTCCCCGTAGATGAACATCTGGCCTCTGCTGGTTGTGTGCTTCTGAGAGACACATCTCCTTGCTCCAGAATGTGCATAGTAAAACAAGCTTAAGCACAAAATAATTGTTTTCCAAATATAATATAAATTTATTTCCTCTCACTAACATATAGCTTGCATTGAAAACCACACCTCTGTGTGCTTTTAAGTTTTCTGAAGAGACACATAAATGCAGGCATGTGATAACAGTTTAATTGCCAAGAATATTAAGCCTAATTTTGTCTCCCATTGCTGAGAGCCTCTGGGGAGCATTACAGGAGCTATATACCCCGTAGACAATTAGCAGCTCTGCTTTAATCACCATCTCCCTAATTAGGTAGGTCTGTCCCCTTGGGAATTTCGGCTTTGGTAAGGGGGCAGAAACACTTTTTCTCTAGCTGATCTTCAAATATTTCCTTTACTTCAGGGAGATGTTAATAACAGCACCTATCTTTAGTTTTTATACTTAGAGCTCAATTCTGTAATTGATTACTCAGAGTTGTTTTTTTTTTTTTTTTTTTTATTGAAGGGGTTAATAATCTTGGTTTCCATCTTTTTGTTCTTTCATCGTTCAGTAACATCTTTTTTAACTCCGAGTCAATTTTATTTTTTTTTAAACAATGTTTTAGCTAATTGTTAAATAAATTACAGTTTTTACCAACCAGTAACATGCTGGTCTAAAGAAGAGTTCAATGTCTTTATGTTAGTGATGGATATATAATGGAGAAAGAAATTAGAGTTGTGTTTCAATAATGAGCATTATGGTTTTTAATTTATGTAATGAATTCTAATTCAAATGAAGGAAAGCCAATTTAAACTTTTCAGAGAAAAATCTGAATTTATTGGCTTATGTAACTGAAAAATCTTTAGGGTATAATAGTTCTGGCCCGTCTGAATCCAGGGGCTTCCATAATATTTGGAGTCAGTTTCTTCTTTTGTACTGGCTTCATTTCCAAGAGGTTCTTTTTATGTAGTGCTGCTGATATGCTTTCTGGATGTTCCCAGCTTACATGTTATTATCAAGAACAGGAGAGAGAAAACTTTTTCTGTAATGGGCTAGATAGTATTAATAAATATTTTAGGCTTTGGAGGCTGTGGGGGTCACTATTGCAGCTACTCAGTTTTGCTGTTGGAGCTCAAAAGCAGCCATACACAATATGTAAATAAATGCATGTGGCTGCATTTCAATAAAAGTTTATTTATAAAAACAAGTAGAAGGCCAAATTTCAAGTCATGGACTGAAATCCCTGCTCTATAAGTCTGGTAGAAGGAGAGCTTTGCTTAATAATTCCCAGGAAGTCCCATGTTTGAATTTTAGTGGGCTAAATACTTGGACCAGAGCATGGAACAGGTGAATTGACAGTGTGGCTCACCTTCCCACTGCATGAGAACTGTATAAATGGTGAGGGAAGGTCGGCTTCCCCTGGGGTAAATCAAAGCACTGTTATGGTAGACATACATGAAATAGGCAAAAATGACACAGTTTATCCAACTCTGATATCTATATTCCATTAAATTTTCTATTCAGAGAGCTTGTTCTTTGATACTTGGCCGGGAATGAAAACCACAAATTTACCATGAACATCATACTTCAAGTGAAAGACTGGATGCTTCCTCCCTAAGAGTGGGATCAAGGCAAAGATGTCCACTCTCATTACCAGTCTTACTCAGCATGGTATTGGAAGTCCTAGCCAGTGCAGTAGGGCAAGAAAAGAAAAGACCCATAGATATTTTTTAAGAACTCAGCAACTGGCTAGTCAGATAAAATTTTGAAATGATTTTGCCAGATTTTCTTCACTTTCTGTTAAATGTGGGTTGACAAGCTATAGAGTCAACATTCCAGCCACATAAGCTTTGATTTTAATATTCTATGGCCACTGTCTCAGCTTGAGAGTAGACTTTCTATGTTAAATGGGACACAGAACTTTAGTGCAAGTTGCATAAATATTGCAACCAGGAGAAATTTTAGAGACAGCAAATTTCCTTTTTTCTCAGTTCCTTATAACTAAAGTTCTCTCTCCTGTTCTCTTTGTATATTGCTCGTAAGTATGTTCGGTACATTTAAACAAGCAGATTAGACTCAGAACAGTCATTACCAACACATGCATCCAACCTTCTGCCCAATGGAAAGATGACTCAGCACATAAGTGGAACTAATAGGGTAACCCAGAGTC